CCTCTTACTCACATCAGAAATAAAACATTAGATCCCTGTTCCTCTTACTCACATCAGAAATAAAACATTAGATCCCTGTTCTTCTTAATTACATCAGAAATAAAATATTAGATCATGTTCTTACTCACATCAGAAATAAAACATTAGATCCCTCTCCTTCTTACTCACATCAGAAATAAAACATTAGATCCCCGTTCTTCTTACTCACATCAGAAATAAAACATTAGGTCCCTGTTCCTCTTACTCGCATCAGAAATAAAACATTGGATCCCTGTTCTTCTTACTCGCATCAGAAATAAAACATTATATCCCCGTTCTTCTTAATTACATCAGAATAAAACATTAAATCCCTCTCCTTCTTAATTATATCGGGAGAAACCCTGTGCCAATGTTCGTCTCAGTTACACACAAAAGGCACTATCTCAATGCTATTTTTATTTTTATCAGATTAAAAAAAAACATGATTTCTATTTACATAAAAGCACCGAAGATACATTATTCTTACTTTACACCGGAAGAAGAACTCTGGATTTATAATCTTTTTTTTTATACAAAAATAGTAGGTCTAACTTTCTTTCATTTTCACCAGGAATATTAACCTATTGAATACACGATCATTTTTCAGTTGCTATTAACTGCAAATGAAGACTTTATCTTTTTTTGAACCCTTTTTGTATTAGTTCACTGTAGATTTCACGTTATCAACTAACTAATCCGTCTATTGTTTTTGTTAGTTTTGTAATATATATATATATATAAACATTTAATTCACTATTAGGCATATAATTCCGCTCATACTTATAAATAAACATCGAAATCAAATTACACCAAATTTAACTTCTTAAATTTATGTTATGTATTGAAATTTCGAAACATTTGTGTCCTATTTTTGTAAGTAAATATTGCACAAATATCCACGATAAATGCACTGCGGTACAGTAAGTTTTGACTGCTGTTCCGTAAAAAAAAAAGAAGCGAAAACAGTGTGCGTGTAATTAATTACCAATGTACGTGAACGCCGAACGACACCAAAAATACAGACAAATAATAATAAAAAATAATATAGCGAAAAACAAAATCAATGTTAAGCTGAAATGGACACGTTGAATATTAAATCGAATTTATCTCTTATTATTATTATAAATGCTGCACTATTGAACACGTGTGTTGTCAGTCTTGCTTACCTGACATTTAGCATTACAGTACCGCTCTTTGGCGCAGCCCGAACATACAAAATGGGGACGAGGAGTCCCACAGGTTGAGCAACGAACAACACGAGTCCGTGCGTGGTTAGGACTAGGAACAGACTGATACTGTGGTGGCGTATTGTGTGGATGCTCTGTCGACGACACGACTTCTTCAGACTGAAACGTATTGAATAAAATAGAAACATTTTAGGCTAGTAAGTTGTCAGTTCGATTTAAACTTTGGATCAGAGTAAAATGATAAATAGAGGTTTTCGCATATTATTACGTAAATTGTAGCTATTTCGAGTTAATAATATTATTTGGATAGTTACGCATTACTAAGAAATGCTGTAGCGAACTATTTTAAATTGTTCTTGTTACTGTAAGATTGAAACACCCTCTTATCTACTTTTTGTTTATTCTTCTCGCCCACCCCATCAACCGTACCCCAGTTGCTCGGCGTTAAGTCTGCAGGTTTACGACGCTAAAATTAGGGTTTCAACACTCTTGGTGGGCACAACAAAGATAGCCCATTCCGCACTTAACAAAGACCAAACGCTATTCTTTTTCTATCGCCCCTTCAGTGAATTAGCGGTAAGTTTCCGGACTTACAACGCTAAAATCCGGGGTTCGATTCCTCATGGTGGACAAAGCGCCGATAGCATATTGTGTTTGTTTGTTTGTAATTAAGCACAAAGCTACACAGTGGGCTATCTGTGCTCTGCCCACCACGGGTATCGAAACCCGGATCCTAGCGTTGTAAGTCCGCAGACAGACCGCTGTGCCACTAGGGGGGGGGCAGTATGTTTTGTAGCTTTGCGTTAAAACAAACATTTTTTTTTTGTTATCAGGAACTCCTCGCGGGAGAGATAATTGGAGTTTATTTAATAATTTTCCACCAAGTGTTAGCCTTGAAAAGTAAGATTTTTTCATTAGAAACCAGCTGTAAAATCCAGCTTTATTTACCAACAACGTATATCCTGTTTAAGTATTTTTCGTCTATCTGCGAATGAAATGCAATGAATATTTTGTTTATAACAAATGAAATATTACATTAATTACGTGACAGTTATTATAATTATTGTCGCTCGTTGTCAGCCTGCCTACAGTATTAACGTGCCACGTAGTTAAAAATGTTTGGCTAAACTCCAATAGAATAAAGTTGAGAAAATGAAGGTCCCAAAAACTGTTGATGGAGCAGAAAAATTAACCTTCGTAGCCTATTTAAATTCTTTACTTTCCTGGTGGCAATTCTGAGGGCTTATAACGCTAGAAGTTACTCGCGATGGGCTGAGAACAGATAGCCCATTGTGGCTTTGCGATTAACAACAAAATTACTCTTTATTTTGAGAAAGTAATATTGGGAATTGTACTGAGATTACTCGATATGGTGTACACGAATGAGGTTTGAAAATTCCGAAAATATGTTACCTAAAATGTAAGTTTATTTGAAACAAGTTGCATTAGTATTTAGTAGTAACATTAAAAAGTTTTGAATATCTGAATGAATATTAGTTAACACACACCAAGGTCAGGCATAAAAAAATAAATAAGCCTTGGCTAAAAAAAAAAAAGCCAGAAAAAATTACTGGAATGTCTAGAAAGTTCGAGTTCAAAGAAAACTGTTATTTCTGTCATAATCCACCATACACTTTTAGTTCTAATGCTTTATATACACGATGAACTGGTAACTCTGCATTTTACTTACATAACAATGAAATGTTACATCTGCATAAATACTTATAGGACTACAGAGTTCCGCGGTTGTGTATAATACTGAAACTGAAACCTATTTGTTTTTAAAGTTGCATGACGTAAGCTGTTTCATAAGTCTTCTTTATATTTACCTTCTCTCTCTCTGGATCGGAAGAGTAGCCCAAGAGTTGGCGGTGGGTGGTGATGACTAGCTGCCTTCCCTCTAGTCTTACACTGCTAAATTAGGGACGGCTAGCGCAGATAGCCCTCGTGTAGCTTTGCGCGAAATTCAAAACAAACAAACAAACTCTCTGGATCGGAATTTAGGTCGTTTTACGACCTAGGAGGGTCAGATTCTAGTAGACCTCTTCCTCCCTTCTGTGCTGGTATTATATGTTTCTTGGGTTTTGGTTTTGGTTGGCTGGTTTGATTTGATTTGTTGAAATCATATTGCTACTTTCCTTTTTCAGGGCCATGTCCGTTTATGTTTTCAACTTATATATGTGTGTAGCCTTATGTTTGCTTGGTATTTGTGTTCTGTGGTAGTAGTTGTTCTAGTGCTATTTTCGTGATTAGTGCGATGCAACTCTCTTCGTTTGGGGGGGTTATTATATTTTTTCTTTGAATATGCTAAATATGTGTGTGACTGCCTCTGTTAATTTGTTTGTCAATTCCTGTATTTGATCATTGATTGGTTTAGTGTTTTTCATTTGTTCTGTTGTTTCTTCAGTTT